CCCCAAAACCCCAAAACCCCAAAACCCCACAAAACAGCTTATAATATAACCAAACTAGTTATATATTGAGCTATCATGACAAATTGCAAACCAAAGTTTCAAAAGCCATTCTCCCGTATTAATAACAAATTGGTGACCAACTTCATCAATGTACAGATGAAGAAGGAGAAACCCAGACCTGAAATAATCAGGAAGAGGTCAATCCTCACAAAAAGATTAACAGCTATTAATCCTTTGAACATCTTAAATTTGGCTTTAAATTATAGATCCATAAAATAAAAAGTAACTGAGACTTGCAATCTGTAAGGGAGAAGGAAAACCCTGGGTACTCAGTCCAGCTACCCTTTACCAACCATAACCAGCAAAATTCTAATATGAGAACGACTCAGAATGCTACTAGGGTTAGTATGAACAGAGACCAAGAATTCTTCCAACAGATAAGATATGAGAATAAAAACAACATTTTCCCAACAGGGCATTCCAGTTGTTTCTCAGATTCTTGAATTAATGAGGAAAAATACACAGCTGGGGCTAAATACTCTTTTAAGATAGACAATTCAAAAGAGGAGTCTAATGACCATTATGCACATTCTGAGTAATTTATATTCAAACATTAGGTTCAATAACAAAAGATTAAGTCCTTTCAAAACGCGGAGGGATAACATACAAATTACTAACCCAATGGATCCTCCTCTTGTTGCCTTCAACTTTATAGTTTCAAATAATTCAAGGAGGAAGCTGAAGAATATAATGCGCACTTTTTCAGAAAAAAGACAGAAACAAGAGTACCTTGAGGCAAATAATACCTCTCTCAGTAAAATTGTGCTCTTTTTTGTAGGTGATTTTATAATTCTGTAGAATAAAAAACCGCCAAGGACTAAGATCAGAGATGCTACTCGGCTCAGCATGATATGTGACAAGAAACTTAGAGATTGTGCTATATTCAGTCGTAAAATTTACAAAACCATTTCAACCAGAACAAGAGAAGTCTCCGTTATAAGCTGGATAGTTTACGAAGGAAGCCTAAAATTGAAAATTCGATGAGAGACATTTTTAAGAAGGCTAAATACAGCGATGATGTCAATCTCAACATCAGTCCATGAAAGCTAAGAAAGCTTAAGCTTTATCTGTTGTTTATTGTTATCTAGATATCTCAAAATAAGCCAAAAATAGACCTTCAATATTTGTTTACTCCTAAAATCGATAAGTCTTCAAGAGAGCAAGAGAAAATAAGCCAAATGGACTGGTTTACTCAATTAAAGCTATCTCTTCACAAGGTTATTACATGCTTAGTAAAAGACTTTATTACAGACGAAAGATAAATTATGCATTCAAACCCTTGCTTGTCATATATTATGATGGGATTCTAGGGTTTACAAAGAAACAGAGGTTTTATATCAGGCCCAAAGTTGATACTTTCCTCTCAAAAATGAGCAAGAGTTTCAAATTATCATTGCCAAATGAGGTAACTGATGATAAGTACTAATTCTATAGGATCTATTTCTGATTCCAATGTAATCTTAGAAACCATTCTAAAGAAATATCCAATAGATGCATTTTACTGATTGAACCCTAATACCTCAGAAAACACTTTTGTATTTCGCTACCAGATATATAGGGATTTTAAAATATCCGAAAAGAAGGTGAATTCTAAGGTGTTCTGACTGATTCCACTTAATGTTGATGATATTGAATACTCTTCAGGATTTACTGAAGATATTCTCTTCAGCCGACCATTCACTAAATCCAAAGTTTCCACTACTCTCAACCTCAACTTCGCGCCCTTGCCCGCTAAAGTATATCCCCAGCTTCCCAGATGTTTCCTTACTAAAAATTGCAAAGGTGATGAACTTCCAAAACCCTTGAGTATTTCTTTGATCTTGCCCGATCCTCATCGTTCCTCAATCTCAGATTTGCTTGCTCACAAGCGCCAAGAGACTTCTCTAATATACATGTACTTGAAGTCTCATGCAGCGAAACACCAAAATCCAGAGTTCAATCAATACATATTGCGACCAGTGAGAACCTGTCCTAAGTTGTAGGTATAAAGCCAGGAAGAAGAAATTAAGGAAGGCGAAGAAGCAGTTGGAGGAAGAATTTGTGTATTTAGAGAAGGAGTTTGTGCATTTTTATTAAATATTTTCAAGGAATAAATATTATTTTGGGGTTTTGGGGTTTTGGGGTTTTGGGG